GATGAATACCATATGATTTCACTCATATATGGAGTCTGATGAACTAAAATGACAAGGAAAATGGGGACAGACTCATAGATGGAAGATAGGATAACATTTGGGGGATGGGGTAGGTTTGGAGGTAGACAGATTGAGCAAAAAGGAAAAAGGACTCATGGACATGGACAACAATGTGGTGATTGCTGTGGGGAGAGAAATATAGGGAACTAAAAGGTAATGTAAAAAATACAATAAAGATTAAGCTAAAAGAAATCTATGTACATTTGAAGTAATTACTGATATGAACAGATTTAGCATGCCATTTTGATACTGTTTTCTGTATTTCTTGTGGCTTTTTGTGCCCCTCATTACTCCCCTACTGCCTTCCTTTGTGTCTCTCTGATTTTCTTTCTTGTAATGATTTCCTCTCATTTCCTTTTCTGTATGTTCAATAAATATTTTCTTTCTAGTTATCATTTTGATCATATAAAATACCTTATAAAATCATAAAAACTCTATTCCTTTATAGTAATGTCCTCCTATTATGATTATTACAAATTACATCTTTATATTCTGTGTACCCATTAATGTAGAGTTATAAGGCATTTTTAGGCTTTTGTCCCTTAAAACCTACACAGTAATTAAAAGTGGATTAATGCAACAAAATTATGGTAATACATGATTTGTCCAGATATTTACTTTTATTGGGTAATTTTATACTTTCATATGACATCATGTTGCTCGCTAGCATCCTTTTATTTCAGTTGATAGAACTCATGCTTTTTTAAAAAATCCTCACCCAAGAACATATTTATTGATTTTAGAGAGAGAGGAACGAGGGCAGAGAGAGAAACATCAATTTGTTCTGTTTATTTATGTATTAATTGGTTGATTCTTGTATGTGTTGACTGGATATCGAACCCACAACCTTGTCGTATAAGGATGATACTCTAACCAACTGAGCTTCCTGGCCAGGGCTTCCAGTCACATCTTGAGTGACTAGAATGTTATCCACATCCTGTCTAGTTGTACATTAGGCATTGCAGATTCTTTTCTCTTCATGGCGCCAGTACCTTTTATTACTCTTTGTTAAAAGAATGAAAATGGTAACAAAAACTATTGTGATGTAGCACTGGCTTTTCTTTTGTGAGTATACTATTTCTGCCATGATTTTGAAGTAAAGATGTTATATTGTCAAGCCAAAGAAGGGTTGTTTTTTGTTCTTTTGTGTAGTAGACCGCTCTGCCTGATTTTAGGAATTGTATCTCTACCCCTTGTGGCTCAGGGCGAGAGACGACCTTTGGAATCCCAGCCTCAGGAGACAAAGCCTGTCTCTGGCAGCAAATGCTGCCTCAGTTCCTCTCCCTGCCCCCAGAGCTTGGTCGGAAGTCAGTGATGGGAAAGACCCCTCACAGCGGGGGGCAACCTAAGCCAGACTCGATCACCTGGGAGGCCTTCATGGAAGGACTCACGGGGTTGCAACAGAGAGCATTGGACTCTCGCCCCCAGCTTTGTCAAAGCCCGAGTCCCCATGTGTTCTGGGAGAAGTGCTTCCTGGCTCTAATCCCCTTAAGCCTGGATACCTGATGGGGAGAGGTGCAGCTCCTTGCCTGGCCAGAGCGTGCCCTGGGGAAAAATCTGGTACCACAAAGACTTGCTGATAAACCTGTGAAATCTGCTCTGCTAAGAGTGCTTTCATTCATATGATAAGTGTCTGAGAGGAAATGAGTATGTCTCCCAAAGTTTCTGCAACTCTCTTCCTGACAGCACTGACTCATAGTAAGCCCTCAGATCTCTTTGAAATGTTATCTACTGTTTGATCCTTGCCACCCTGTATTCCTGTGTATTACAACCCAATGAAAGGCTATGGAAGAGGGCGCTCAGGGCCTTTTTCTTCTCAGAGAAACTGGCTGCTGCTGGCCTCTTTCTCCCAAGAGAAACTGGACACAGCCCACTCCTCCATACTCAAACAGATCTCATCTTGTCTCGGCCATATTTATTCACTCACGCATGTCCGTGGCACCGGGGGGACCTTGCGAAAGTGGACGCCTCCACACTTTTATAACCATCTGACCAATGGGTGATGGTTTATTGGTAGGGGAAACCTTACTAATGTCTTATGGATTTAACATCCAGTTGGGCAGCACTGGAGATTGGTCAGTATGTAGGAACCAGCCAAGGGTGTGGTTGTACATCCCAACTGGCGGTAAGTGTGGAAGTAACAACCACTAAAACCTCTCCAATGTGTGGCAGATGCTTCTCACATTGTACTGTTTATACCCCTACAGGACATCAATTCAAAGGAAACACCACCCATTAACCCTGGGTGATGGGATAGTTACAGCAGTTTAATTAGATGACCAAGTAATCCCTCATAGTGGCTATTATGTTTGACTGCTATGTGGCAGGACAGTCTCACCCACTCTCACTCTTGAACATTCAGAAGGCTCTGTAATGTGTTTGGACAGTCTCACCCACTCTCACTCTTGAACATTCAGAAGGCTCTGTAATGTGTTTATGTCAGTACATTCACCATTCTTTTTACTTGGCAGCTTGATCTAATTCCTCCTCTCAAATTTCATCCTTACTGAATGCCCCAGACACATCCAACCAAATGCCCAGTGACACGTTAATACACCGTGCATTGCAAGGTTCCATCCTCAACTTGTCATCCACTATGCATTTCTCTAACTGTAGGACTCTTCCTCTATATGAATGGTTAGTATAAATTCTGCTTTTCTGCAGTGTTTGAATCCAGACTCATCCACCTGACCTCATTTGCTGTACCAGCTAGGCTACTGAGGTAAGATGGGTTATTATTGGCAATATAGCCACAAAATAATTATTGGACCAATAAAACACAACAGTATGTTTTATGTATTAATCCTGTGAACCAAAAACATAAATAAATGTTATGGGTTATTTGAACCCAGGGATGTTTTCTTAGTGTGGACATTTTTTAAAAATTATTTTTCAAGTACAGTTTTCTGCCTTTTAGTCCCTTCCCAGCCCACCCCCCTCGTGCTCCCCACCTCCCTCCCATTTCCACCTCCCTTAGCTGTTGTCCATGTGTCCTTTATACTAGTTCCTCTAAATCCCTCCCCTTTTTCCCCTGAAATTCCCTCCTCTCTCCCCTCTGGTCTCTACGCCCCTGTTCTCTATTTCAGTGTCTTTGTTTTTATTTTGCTTGCTTGTTTGTTTTGTTGCTTAGCTTCCTGTTAAAGGTGAGATCATATGTATTTGTCTTTCAACACCTGGCTTATTTCACTCAGCATAATGCTTTCTAGTTCCATCCATGCTGTTGCAAAGGGTAGGAGCTCTTTCTTTCTTTCTGCTGCATAGAATTCCATTGTGTATATGTACCACAATTTTTTGATCCATTCATTTACTGACAGGCACCTAGGTTTACGCGTGGACATTTTTGGCCTTGAGGGCTAAATCTCAAGGACTATTTGGCATGAACCAAATGAGCTCATGGACATTTTTGGTAGGGACAAACAAATTTCAAGGACCTGTTAGCATAGATCACATGTGTCCATGGACATTTTGGACAGGACCAAGTATCAAGGATCTTCTAGTGTGGACCAAATGTCTCAGTGACATTTTGGACAGGACCAAATGTCTGCTAATCTCTAGTAAGTAGCAAAAGGTTGAGGTTCATATCTGGTATGTCTGGCTCAAAGCCAGCACTATTTCATTTCTTCAAATAGCCCAAATCAAAAGAACACAAGTGAGCTAAGAGAACTTACTGCTTTTATACATTTGTTTTCTGAAATAAATAGCACTATTTCCTTGGTGATATTATATATTATTCTTTAAATCTAGCTAGTCTTTTGTTGGCTTTGTTCCTTCTAAGGAGATATTCTTTCCAGTCTAAAATCTCCAAAGGATTTTCAGGGTAAAACACATTTCAAGATGTGCAATCACATGGAAGAATGAAAATCTTTTATAATAATTGTTTGCTAAAATGACAGCTCTACTTAACAGAAGCCATTAAAATATTTACAAAGTAGCAGCTGCTCTTACAAAAAAAATATGGCTTTTGGAGGCATAAAAACAAACAAGTTGATAAGTACAAGATAAGCCATTTGTCGGCTTCTTTGTGTACATAGCACAATATATAGAAATTCTGATATTTACAGAGCAATTATAATATAAAGCCTTTTAAGTTAAAAGGACACAGCCTCAGTTAGAACAGTTTACAAGAATTCTTCATACTGATCTTTTAAACAATTTAGGAAGTCCCCAACATTATTCTTCTAAGAAATGTTAGATTTTTGGTGTATTTTTTAAAAAGTTTTGTTCTAAAGACACTGAAATAGAGAACAAGTGGGCAGCGACCAGAGGGGAGAGGGAAGGGAACTTAAGGGGAAAAAGGGGGAGGGATTTTGAGGAACAAGTATGGAAGACACAGAGATGAGGACTGGGGGGGGGGAATGGGAGGGAGGGGGGAGACCGGGCGGGGGGGGTGGGGTGGGATGGGAGAAATAGATAAAAAAAAATGTACTTGAAAAGTAACTAAATAAAATTTAATATTAAAAAAAAGTTTTGTTCTTAAAGATAAATTTGCATTTGATACATGTGTATATATAATTTTATATATGTATATATATATAAAATTCTCTCCCTATTCAATTCTGTTGAGTTCTTTATGGAACTAGAATTTCAGCCAGTGGTTTTCTGAAAATAATTACAAATCATAGGAAATAGACCAAGAGAACAAAAATGTTTAAAAGCAACTGAACATTTGCATTGTTATGCCTTAACTTACTAATTTCACATTTTATAAATAAATTGAGCAGTTGATTTTGTTTTTTTAAAAAACAAATCCTTTAAAAAAGCAAATATTAATTATTAAAATTCTGTAATATTGGTTATTTTTAGGTTTTCTCAAAAGAGAACAATGATACCTGATTATTACAACCTCAGGTTATTTTTGAAGAAAGGGAAAGATACAGAAAAAGTGGCTTTTGGCAAAATCTTTTTTAAAAATTTTATTTACTTTTAGAGAGAGGGGAAGGGAGGGAGAAAGAGGGAGCAAACATCTATCAGTTGCCTCTCTCACGACTCTCACTGGGGATCTGGCCCACATGTGCCCCAACTGGGAACTGAACTGACAACCTTTTGGTTCACAGGCTGGCACTCAATCCACTGAGCCACACCAGCCAGGGCATTCATCCCACATTTTTGATAGGTGTATTCTATTACTTACAGCCCTTATAACTATTGTTTTTTATTGTGGTAAAAAATACATAACATTTTATCATCTCATCATGCAAAACTGACCCACTTTCAAGTAGAGTCAGTCCCCCCCCTTAAGATGGTTCAACTTAAGATTTTTCAACTTTACAGTGGAGTGAAAGTGGGTTTCTACTCAATTTAGTAGAAACCTGATAAGCTAAGTTATGATGTTTGGTAGATTACATGCATTAAATGCATTTTTAACTTACAATATTGTTAACTAAGATGGGTTTGTTGGGATGTAATCCCATTATAAGTCGAGGAGCACTTATTTCAGCAATGTGAAACATGCTCACATTGTTTACAACAGATCTCTAGAACTTTTTCACTTAGGAAAAATGAAACTCTGTACCCATTAAAACTAATTGTACCCCCCTCCATCACGCTACTACTTCTCTTCTTTCTGTTTGATGACCTTTGATACTGCACATGAGTAGAATCATACAGAATTTGTACATTGTGATAGGTTTCATCATTTAGTTTCATAGGTTGATATATTTATAATGTTTACCAGTGGACCTTATTTAGGTGTCAGTCATTTTGGTTGTCTGATCTCTTTCTGTAGTAGATTCCCCAGTAATGGCTCATGGGAATAATAGGTTGTTTTGGCTGAATATAAAATTTTTGGCTCATGTTTTCTTTTCTTGAGCATCTTAAGTATATTACTCCATTATTATGTTCTGGAATAAAGTGTTGCTATAAAAAATGATCATAACCTGATTTTATTTGCTGCAATAAAGTGTTGTCATCAGAAAGCAATCATAACTGCCCTGGACAGGTGGCTCATTTGGTTGGGGCATCATCCTGGTATACATGAAAGGTTGTGCATGCGATTCCCAGTCAGGGCACATACCTAATTCAATCCATGGTTGGGGTGCATACAGGAGGCAGGTGATTGATATTTCTCTCTTACATTGATTTTTTTCTCTCTCTCTCTCTCTGAAATCAGTAAATGTGCCATGGCCTCTATGGTTTGGTTGGAGCATTGTTCCATAAACCAAAAGGGTCATGGGTTTGATTTCCGGTCAGGGCACCTGTCTACAGGTGTTGCAGTTCTGTGTACAGGAGGCAGCCAATAGATGTTTTTCTCACGTCAATGTTCCTCTTTCTTTTTCCCTGGAATAAAAAATATATAGATATAAAATCAATAAACATATCCTCAAGTGAGGATTAAAAAAGTGATCATAATTTGATTCTGTTCCCTTTATAAGGACTTAGTGTTTTTGTCTGATCACCCCAAGGATTATTTTGTTTATTTTCTTTAAAGTCCAAAAATTTCATTAATATATGTCTTGATATAGAAAATTTTGGGCTGCTTTTTCAAGATATGTGATACACCCTTTCATTTTGCAGTATAAAGTCTTTTTTATTTCAGAGAAATTTTCTTTTAAGAGTTTTTTTTAGGATCTATTCTATTGTATTGCTTTGGTTATTCTTCTTTAGGAACTTATACATATGTTGGATCTTCTTTGTGTAGTATCTCTAGCACTTTCTCTTGTCTTTTTTATCTCTTCCTCATTTTTTTCAGATTTAATATATTTTATTCAAAATACACACTTTTATTATTGAGGTATAAGTGATATAGCATTATATTTGTTTCAGGTATATTATGTAATAGTTGATATTATATTATAAATTGATCAAAACAAGTCCAGTTAATATCCATCACCATACATAGTTATAATTTTTTTCTTGTGATGAGAACTTTCAAGATACACTCTTCTAGCAAATTTCAAAACATGCAAGACAGTGTAATTAACTGTATTCACCATGCTATCCATTACATGACTCACTTTATACCAGAAATTTGTACTTTTGACCCTATTCACTCATTCTTCCCTACCGTGATGTTCCCCTTGCCCGCTTCAGAAAACCATTAGTCTGTTCTCTATACTAACGAGCTCATTTTTGTTGTTTTTTAAATTCTACCATAAGTGAGATCATCCAGTATCTATCTTTTCCCCTCTGACTATTTCAGTTATCATAGTACCTTCAAATACATCCATATTGTCACAAATGACAAGATTTCATTCTTTTCTTGTGGTTGAATAATATTGCATTATGTATATGTATATGTATATATATATACCACATCTTCTTATCCATTCACTTATTGATGAACACTTAGGTGGTATCCATATCTTGGCTATTGTAAATAATGCTGCAATGAACATGTGGGTGCAGATATCTTTTTTTAAGTGAGTGTCTTTGTTTCCTGCAGATTAATACTCAGAAGTGGGTTTACTGAATCATATGGTAGTTCTATCTTAAGTTTTTTGAGGAACCTTCATACTATTTTCCATAGTGGTGACACCAACTTGCATTCCCACCAATAATGTATAACAGTTCCCTTTTTTCCACATCCTTGCCAACATTTGTTATTTCTTGATGAGGACACTGGCAAGCAGTGTCTGCTGCATTGTGGATGAGACATAAGACAAATTCACATGGACTACTGAGTCCTGTGCACGAAAAGGGATGGCATAGCCACTCTTTCAAGAGGAAAGCACACCAACCCTTGCCTTGACAGGGTTTTATTGTTTTTCTGGGCACATTACACTGAGGATGGTCCTCATTTACTATGCACAGGTTCGCTTTAGGTGGTTACCTTTTACAGAAAACAAAGGAGACAATGCAACTAATCACATCAGAGAAGAAGGGTATTTGAAAATGCAAAGGGAAAAGTGGTTGAACTGGTTGCACTCATCCCCGGAAGGCTTAGCATAGATTTTAAGGAATCACTTTAAAGATATGTAGTAAATGCTCCATTACTTCCATCCAAGATGGAGGTGTAGGTGGAAACATTGTGCCTCCTTGCACAACCAAAACTAAGGACAACAAAGATTTAGAAACAAAAACATGACGAGAATAGACAGAAAATTGGACTATATGGAAATCTGACAACCATTCATACAAACAGGTAATAGGGGCGAAGTCCGCAGCCAGCAGAGATAAGTTGGCAGGAAAAGGTGGGGGCTGGCATTCCCGGGTGTGTAGGCAGCATGGGACTAGCAGACCCCAGGTGAGGGGAGAAAACGAGCACACCCAGTGAGGTGTGCAGGGTGGTTGGCTGACCGCGCTCACACATTTGCGTGCAGATAAACCAGGCAGAAACGGGCAGCGAGACAGACTGAGCAACCCAGGGCCCCAGCACCATGAAATAAAGCCTAAAAGCACCAGATTGAAAAGGTGCTGGGAAAGACTCCCAGCCTCACAGGAGAGTTAATTGGAGAGACCCACAGGGTCCTAGAATGTACACAAGCCCAACCACCTGGGAACCAGCATCAGAAGGGCCCAGTTTGCTTGTGGGAAGCAGCAGAGGGGACTGAAGTCTGAGAGAGAGCAGAGCAGATGCCATTGTTCCCTCTCTGACTCCGCCCATACACACAGCATCACAACCCGGCAAAGTGGGTTGCCCCACCCTGGTGAATACCTGAGGCTCCTCCTGTCACTACATAACAGGCATGGCCAGATGCCCCCCCCCAAAAAAAATGGCTCAAATGCAAGAAGAAATCAAAGACCCAGAGCAAATACTTTTAAACGACCAAGAGATAGCCAACCTATCAGATACACAGTTCAAAACACTGGTGATCAGGATGCTCATAGAACTGGTTGATTTTGGTCACAAATTAGATGAAAAAATGAAGGCTACACTAAGTGAAATGAAACGAAATGCACAGGGAACCAATACTGATGGAAATAAAACTGGGACTCAAATCAATGGAGTGGACTAGAAGGAAGAAAGAAACATTCAACCAGAAAAGAATGAAGAAACAAGAATTCAAAAAAATGAGAGACTTAGGAACATCCAGGACATCTTGAAACACTCCAACATCCGAATTATAGGAGTACCAGAAGGGGAAGAGGAACAGCCACAAGTGGAAAACTTACCTGAACAAATAATAAAGGAGAATTTCCCCAGTCTGGCAAAGGCAATAGACTTCCAGGAAATCCAGGAAGCTCAGAGGGTCCCAAAGAAGTTGGACCCAAAGAGGAAAACACCAAGGCACATCATAATTACATTAGCCAAGATTAAAATGAAGGAGAGAATCCTAGAAGCAGCGAGAGATAAGGGGATAGTCACCTACAAAGGAGTTCCCATCAGACTGTCAGCGGATTTCTCAAAAGAGATCTTACAGGCAAGAAGGGGCTGGAAAGAAGTATTCCAAGTCATGGAAGGCAAGGACCTCCATCCAAGATTGCTCTATCCAGCAAAGCTTTCATTTAGAATGGAAGGGCAGATAAAATGCTTCTCAGATAAGGTCAAGTTCAAGGAGATCATTATCACCAAGCCCTTATTCTACAAAATGTTAAAGGGATTTACCTAAGAAAAAGAAGATAAAAAAGATGAACAGTGAAAGGACAGCAAACTCACAGTTACTAACAACCACATCTAAAACAAAAGCAATCTAAGTGGACAGCTAAAACAACAGTGGAGCCACAAAAATGGAGATGACTTGGAGGGTTAGCCACAGGGAAGTGGGAGGAGGAGAAGGGGGGAGAAGGTACAGAGAATAAGTAGCATAGACAGTGGGGAGAAAATAGACAGGGGGAAAGCAAGAGTAGTGTGGAAAATGTTGAAGCTAAAGTACTTATGACCCATGGACGTGAACTAAAGTGGGGGAATGTAGGTGGGAGGGGGTGTACAGGGTGGAGGGGAAGGAAGGGGGTAAATGGGAAAAGTGTAATGTCATAATGAATAAAATATATTATAAAAAACAAAAATATTTAGTAAATGTTCACTGCCTAAATTCAGGGTGAGGGAGTTTTAGCAAAAACCAAATCTCAAAGTGGCCTAGGTACAAATCAGGCCTGAACCAATCCATGGGCGTGGGTCCTGTGTACAGGACATTGCTTTTCAATGGCCTTTCTCAGTGGGAGCTGAGCCCCCGCCATGCAGAACAGTCTCCTATGATTTTGTGTCTTTTTGATAATAGACATTTTTCCCAGGTGTGAGGTGATGTGTCATCGTGGTTTTGATTTGCATTTCTCTGATGATCAGTGATGGTAAGCATATTTTCATATACCTGTTAGCCACTCTTATGTCTTGTTTGGGAAAATTTCTACTTAGATCATCTGTCCATTTTGTAATTGTATTATTTGTCTCTTTTTTCTGTTGTGTTGTATGAGTTCTTTTATTTCAAATATTAACCCCTTATCAACAATATGATTTGCAGATCCTTTCTCCTAATCTGTAAGTTACCTTTTCATTTTGTTGGTTTCCTCTACTTATTTTCTATTTTCAGGTGTTTTTCTCCTTTAAATTCTCTAGTTATCATAAGTCATATGATTTTGTTCTTGTGGTCCTTCTAGTTTGACCTTCATCTCTGAAATTATTTTTCTTTATTATAATTTTCTTAATTCTTTCATATCAAAAAAAATCTTCTGTTATCACATTTCTTAGTTTCTCCTCGAGAAACTAAGTTTCTCTAGGAACAACATACTGATTTATGTTTTTTCATAACTTCTATCATTATATCAATTTAAGCTTATTTTAGAATATTAGGGTTAGTTTTCATCTGTTTGTGGTAACATCATTCTGTAGTGTTTTCACTGTTGCTAGGAAAATTATTCTACTCCTTACTCTGTTTTTTTAACACTGTGTGTGCAATTCGGTTGGAATCTTATATTGTTACTCATTTTTTATGAGAAATTGAGTTTTCTATACATTTAAGACAGATTGGGCCATGATAATTTTTTATCTTCATAGATCTGGAGCACATTAGTCTCTTGTGTTCATCAAGTAGTCAAAAATATGGTTTCCTCTTGTCTTAGTTCATTTAGGTTGCTATATCAAAATACCACAGACTGGATAGCTGATAAATGATAGGAATTTATTTCTTATAGTTCTGGAGGTTAAAAGCCCCAAAATAGGTCATGTGCTTGTGAAGGCCCTCTTCTAGGTTAGAGACTGTCAACTTCTCACTGTCCTTATGTGGTATAAGGGGGCAAGGGATCTCTCTGTGGCCTGTTTTATAAAGACAGTAATCTAATCCCTTCATTGGGGCTCCAACCTTGTAATCTAATCAACTTCCATAGGCCCCATCCCACTACCATCACCTTAGGGGTAAGGGTTTCAATGTATGTATTTGGGGGGGACATATTCAGCCCATAGC